ATGATAATTTAGTCAACACTTACTGGTTGATTCCATAAAAGCTAAATAAGATATCCTGTACATAAAGATGATCATTTAGTCAACACTTACTGGTTGATTCTGTAAAAGCTAAATAAGATATCCTGTACATAAAGATGATAATTTAGTTAACACTTACTGGTTGATTCAATAAAAGCTAAATAAGATATGCTGTGCACAAAGATGATAATTCAGTCAACACTTACTGGTTGATTCGGTAAAAGCTAAATAAGATATCATGTACATAAAGATGATAATTTAGTCAACACTTACTGGTTGATTCAATAAAAGCTAAATAAGATATGCTGTGCACAAAGATGATAATTCAGTCAACATACTCAACACTTATTGGTTGATTCGATAAAAGCTAAGATATGCTGTGCACGAAGATGTATTTCATTCTACATTTATTGCAGAAAAATAGGTCTGAGACTACTAACAATTCTGAACCCCTAACCTCTAAAATTGTTTTACATTAACAGTATCAATGTAAATAACAATACAGGATGTTGTCGTATTTATTAATATCTATAATTGTTTATTAGCTTTTCATTTATTACACGAAAAGGAACAATATACTGTATGAAATCTTTAATTGTCATCTTGGTAGTATTTTGTATATTGACTATACATATAGAATTTCTATGCAAGCACATTTGTATCTATGCAAAGTGCATCATGTTATACAACAGCAACAGGATGATAAAATCAGCATTATAGAAGGACTTCATTATACAGCGATAAGCAAAGAACACCAATCTGTGAATATAACTGAAACATATAAAAATACATTTGATAATATGAACTCTCATTATTAAGGAAATACTATGAGTGTATTTATACAACATAGAAATACAACTGTATAATTGGCCTAAACATATACTAGTCTTTATCATTTAAATCTAAGTAAGACGAACATAAAAATAATTATCTGCTTTTGCAACTTATAAAACGTGAGGTTAAGTGTTCGTTTATTTCCTATACAGAAATGAATTTCCTGTTCAAGTTATAGTTCCCAAATGTGCAACGTTACAACATGATTCTTTCCAAGCTTGATGGTTGAATCTTGTATACATGTCTTGTATACATTTTGATATTATAACGCTTTGTCGGTTCATTAAACAAGCTGACAAACATTAAACTACTTTGATGGTTGAGCTCCCTTTTTATAGTTAGACAAGTGCGTTTTTGTAGCTTGCTACTCCTACTGAAACTGTTCTTTAATATGAACGAAAAATCACTAAATCAGTTCTTTGATGTTCACCTACATAATGTCCCTAACTTCATCCTTGCTGCTGGTGTCATTCGGTTACCAAAGTATATTTTTCTTATTTCATTTTACAGTGCCATGACAATGGATAACATCAAAGTCTTCTATCGTGATTTGTGGTGTAAGTTAAGGTTAACAGGATGTAATTATACCCTATTCCTCTCTAGCCATTTATCTACCTGACTGAATACGGAGATTCTAAAGGCTTTTAGTTGAATGCCGGGTAATTAAAATCTATTCTTTAAATACAAAGGCCATTTTCAAGGACACAATCAATTGTTAAGCTACATCTCCAAGTACTGCAACATTCACGATGTAAAATACGTTTTCTTCATTGAATTTTGAATTCAATTAAATAATAATGTAAAAACTCGTAAAGAGTACTGTTATCGAAGAAATACCATAGTAAATCTATCGCAATTCTCTCAAAGTGTTGATGGCCCAATTCTGGATACCAACCACACGATAGGGTGATTATCTGTGAGGAGTTCTTCAAATACTTATGTTACGCTGACTTTGAAGACAACTTTTCTACTTCTGGATATCTATGTATAATGTAACATTAATACAGTATGGCTGCATAGAACGATTTCAATTAAATTTATTACAATGACAGTTGACAATCAGAATATCATATGATCATAATTTGGACAAACTCACAAGTTTCAATTTACAACAAGCTTTGTCAAGATTTTCGGAGGAATATGAAGAACATTAAAATGAGTTTCTTTAAAACTTGTCATAACGTCTGAAATATTAAAGCTAAGTTTAGTATTAGGCCATAAGACATATATGAAAGTCAGAAGTTTGCAATATGTTAACAAAACTAAATGCCGATTTTATTTTATGTATAACGTCACATTATTTATACAAACCATAAAGTTAAACACTTCCACAGTAGTTCTGTATGACAACATTTTTAAGACGCTTTCTAAATGTAGATACATTTTTCATCTTATAGTGGCACTGATATTGTAAAACACGATTCCCGTGGCATTGCCTACTTGTTCATTGTATGAGTTTAGTTGTTAATTTTATTAATCAGGACTTCTTTCCATAACTGTATAATTTCACCGAAAGGGGGCCGAAGGCCGCCTGGAGAGGTCACCTGTTTCAACCACTCAGACCATTATACTGTAGTGTGTTGTCTGTCACTCAGTCAATAGACACTAAAATGACGTCACATAAGGGATGCTTAACTTTGCAATTTGTACAGTCGTGATGTCAGTAAAACGTGCGCATGTCATATATCACAAGAAGAATTATGCCCAATGTAGGTACAGTATGACATATGAACTTCAATAGCAAGAAATAAAAAATTTGTTACTATTAATTTTGGTTTTATTCATTCTCGAAAAAGAACACTTTCAAGAACCCTGCGCAAGTACATCTAGTACTAACATATAAACATGTTGCATATAACGATGTGATCTATGCTCCAAAATGAAAGAAAGGTCATAGAGGCTAGCTGGAGGTTGAGTATCAGTTCGGTCTTCACGTGCACGTGATATTTTACTGTTAGTTTCCCTAAATTGACCTGTTTGTTTGAAAACGAGGACCATTTTCTAAGTTAAGAAAACCGATACCGTACTTCCGCCGGCAGTAATTTCCTTTTTCTAAGAGCTTAAGATTAACTTCTTTCACTGGAGAAAAAAAAAGAAGAATATTTCTTTCTGAAGATGTTGGAAAATATCATTTTATTTAATTAACAACTGACAAGAATCAAAAACAGGAAGAAAAAATAAACAACTTAAGTTTTTCCTAATGTTCCTCAGCCTATCTATCCTACCCGCGCACAGGAAATATTCGTATGATGGCAACTTTGAAATTCCCACCCCAAGTGGTTGAGCCAAAAATAAAATTCTCCCTAAAAAAAAAATTTTCGTTCCCCACCTCCTCGATTCTAATGGTTGAATTCGTCACGTATCTTTAATACGACAGTGACTGACTGATTAAGGTAAAGTTCAAAACAAACACGTAGTCTTTAATCGATAGTGAAATAAGTATAATGAAGTACGTGTAATAGACTTATACTACCAGTTATCGTTACACGAATTAACTTCTGAACTTGGAAGCTTCGAAAACGAGAAATGGTGTTCTTCTATTCCTGAATGAAGATTTAAAACACCAACTTTCCTTTCGAAAAAAAAAAGAAATAATTTCTTACTTATAGAATATACACGCGAATAGAACCTGTTCTTTTGTTGATTTAAACCTTCTCTAGAATTCTTTTTTTTTCGACAGAATTTCCTCGTCCAGTTTGCATCACGTGCTACTACTTTTTAAAAATTCGAATATCATTCAATTTATTGGTCAACTAGTTAATAGGTGAGCACGAGCATTTAAATAGTGGATGTTAGATCGCATATAGCAAACGGAAGCTCGTGTGTAGTTGTTTGTTTTGTATTTGAATTTCGCGCAAAGCTACACGAGGGCTATCTGCGCTAGCCGTCCCTAACGTAGCAGTGAAGGCAGCTAGTCATCACCACCCACCGCCAACTCTTGGGCTAGTGGGATTGACCGTTACATTATAACGCCCCCACGACTGAAAGGGCGAGCATGTTTGGCGTGACGGGGATTCGAACCCGCGACCCTCAGATTGCGATTCGAGCTCCCTAACCACCTGGCCATGCCGGGCCCGTGTGTAGTTGTGTAGAATGCGTGTTTTGGCGAAGTAATACCTCGGCTATGCAATGATTTAGCTTATAAGCGTTAACATTTTAGTTATACCTATAAACGTATTGATGATAAAGAAACAAATTGATAATAATAATAAATAAATAGACCGCTATTTTCTATGTACGATCTAACATTTAAATCTAAACACATTAGTTTGTGTTATCAGCGAACGCCATGATACTACAGGTAATGATGCGCTCACTAACAAGCATTTCACTTGACTCCCAACCACCCCAGAATCACTGAAGCATGCAACCAGGTGTCAACCTGTAACTGAATGTGAAGATGGGAAGTGCATAACCTAACGTCTCTCATGGCAAAAGTAATCACGAAGATTACTTCCTGCTAGGTTACTTGGAGTTTCTTTTATTCATTACTTGATTTTTATTTATTTATTTTTTTGCTGAGGAATCAATGTAGTAGCAACATCTACATAAGTACAAAACTACTAATACAAAGCATTAGAAATAATCCATTTTCTTACGAAAACCACTTAAACAACAACATCAAAAAATCACTTAGAAACAGTCTTTTCACAATCAAGATGAAACGAAATAAGTTTTTTTTTCTTTCACTTCACCGGTGGGTCAGCGGCAAGTTTATGGACTTACGACGCTAAAATCGTGGGTTTGACTCCACTCGGTGAACAGAACGCAAATAGTTAATTGTGTAGCTTTGCGCTGATATAACAAGAACACTACAGAATAAATCAAGACCATTTTTCTACTTGTTATAGACTCTTGTCTTCCTTACAAAAATATAGCTATAGTTAAACACATTAAATTCACAGATTTAAAACCACTAATCCCTACGTAGCCCGGCATGGCCAGGGGGTTAGGGCGCTCGACTCTTAATCTGAGGGTCGCGGGTTCGAATCCCCGTCACACCAAACATGCCAACCTCCGCCTTTGCCTGGTCCCAAGTCCAGGATGAGAAAGGGGGAGGGTTGGGCGCGGGGCTAGCAACTCCATCCCGTAGAAACCAACCTGCTACAAGTAACTGCAACAACACCTTCCGTTGGCGAGGTGTTGTTGCGGCCCTATGCTCCACTGGGAGTTTACAGGAATAAAAAATAAAAATAAAAAAAAATACGAAGACAGAACCGTGACACTAGTGGACTGAAAAGCTTTATATGATTATCACATTTGTTTATTGAACATTCTGTATATATTCTGTTGTAACTTCTCTTTTTACGTATTAAGTAAGTACTTAAATTAAAATTAAATACTTATTTCGCCACGAATTTAAAAACAAAAACAAAATCAGCGTTTCGGATTAATAACCAGCTTCGTAAGAATAATATTGGGAATTGCATATCATTAGGAATTCCTGGATCTATATAGTGACAAGATTCACATCCATAAGAAATAAAATCTAAACGGTAAGTTAACTTGAACCAAACTAGAAATAAATGTTTGATGAAAGTTTAGCTACAATAACACAAACTAAAAACTAGCATAGTTTATCAACTGAGCAATATATATATATAACAAAATAAAAACAGCAAAGTTTGGTCAAAACTCGATTAAACAAGAACGAACTAAAGCATTACAATGTTTAATGACATGCTGTTTGCCATTTTACGAAATAACAAATCTGTACTAATTTTCGGTGGTTTCTTGAACATTTGTACGTTATATTGTCTAACCCTGACTTATGGAAATATTTTGAGCATAAACCAATAAGAATTATGAATATGTTGTCAAGTCACAGAAAAAGTTACACAGGTATGAATTCTAAGTGTGACTTATTTACCCTCCAGTCGAAGAAAACTTGCAGACATTTGCCAGACAGATAAATTATATTTAATAACACATCGAAGGCTTGATTAGCTTTTAGATTGAAAAATAGTTACATATCCTTCGTATGTAACACGTGCTCCGAAACTCAGCTCCTTCCCATGTAACACGTGCTCCGAAACACAGCGATTGAAGTGAAAATTTATATGCTGCCACATACTTCGTGAATGTTATAAGGTCAAACTCAAGCATAAATTTGACGGCACAGAGAACAGAACACATTTTATGACATCGAATTACTATCGACCGGACTACATAAGACACATGCTCTATTTTTGTTTTTAATAGCGATAAAAAATGACCCATTTTGAGTTTAATACATTATATTAAAAATATTACCGCTTGTTAAAAATACTTCCCTTGTTTTATCATGTTTATCAAACTGTTCAAATTGTAATTGAAAAGAGTCTACACCAAAGCAATTAAACGTATAAACATGTTTTTTAAAAGTACTCCGAAACCAGAACCAAAATATTTTGTTTTAAATTGTAATAACATCTTTATTAAAGTTATTTATTAAATTATAGATTTGAATCAAATTTGAAGTTGCAATATAAAATTCAAAAAGCATTAAATAAGTTTAACGCACTTAACTAACATAATATGCTCGTATTTTTAAATTTATATGTTATATTTAGTTTATTTACTATTAATATTCGCATTTGGGCAGCTTTTTTCTTATAGAACGTAGGTAGTTACGAAATTTCTTCAATTCTTGTCTTGATAAATTCTTATTTCTGTAACTCTTCATCTGCCAGCCCTGTTAAAACAACAAACAAAAGTTTGAATTTCGAATTCATAAAGGAAGAAAATGGTAAAAATGAATGAAAACGACGCACAAAGTCGGTATAACTATCAGAACATTCACATAGCATGAAAAGTGTAGCACGGTTCACATTCAGTTTTATAATAACTATCCATTTTTTGTTTTTCTTTCAAGAACTTGCTATAACAAACTGTTCCTTGAACAGAAGAAAGTTATATAATTGTTATATGTTCTTTCTGAGAATAACATGATTTTCTAACCTGTGGAAAGCTGAAAGTTAGGAGCCTGTCTCTAAACATCTCCACAGTGGGGAGAAAGTGTACTATAAGAATTACTGTCCCTCATTATATATAAAAAAAAGACAGGAATATTAAAACTGCCCTTAGGCAGGCTCGCCCTGGGAAAGGAACGGTCTTAAGATTGGAAAAGAACAAAGTAATGGTTATCTTATAATCTATGCTAATTGAGAAAAAGTTTGAGATATTACTAGACCATACAAGATCAACTCGTGTGTATATCAGTCTTTTTTCTATATAAATCAAGCAGTAATCACTATACATAAACAATTAAAACTGAAAGAGAGAAATATTATATACATCTGCCAACGCTTGAATGAACAACGAAAGAAAAGTGGTGACAATGTAACATTTAGAGATATTTATCAAAAACTTAGATAATCAGAAAAAATCATACGGTTTCAGAGAATTTTTGAGAGCGTGGTTTTGAAAATAGATTCAAATTTTTGTTTGTTTGTTGTTATGCCTAAGATACACAATGGACTGTCTGTGCTCTGCCCACACAGGTATCGAAACCGAATTTTAGTGTTATAAGCCTCAAGCTTACTGCTGAGCCACCCAAGGGGCAGATTGGAATGAAACATAAGCTTTTACAGTTAACCTAGAATAAGTGCTACTTCAATTTGGTTGTGTAGGTTAAATATAAGCAAATACAATGAATAATATTTCAGCGTAGGTTTCATAAAATATTTAGTGACTTAAAACTAAAATGGAACTACTAAATATAACTATATATATAGTCATAATTGAAAAGAAATTAATTGTCCACTTTCAGTTGCCCAATTAAATTATGATTATTTGTATGTGTTTTTGTACTTCTATTTATAGCAAGGTTACTAATGCTATCTGCTGACATCCCTAACTTTGAACTGCTGACCAGAAAGAAGACAGACAGTCAGCAGCACTCTACCGCCCACAATCCATACTAAGGGAGTGACTGTCGCTCTTATAATGCATCCACAGCTTAAAGTGCGGGGGATATTTTGTAGTATCGCCTAGAGTCCGAAACCTACAGTTCTACCATAGGACCAATTCGCACTCGTATTGTTTTGAGTATTTTATAGGAATTATTGTCTGACTTCTAAAGCTAAGTATTTTATGGTTGGTGAACGTAGGCGGACGCAAAATTTCCGATTTTTTCGCCAGGGCATAGCGGTTCATAGAACGGCCCTGAATTTTTAATTTATTTTCTTCAAGAACAAACTTTTAGCTCATAGCTCCCCCATCTCTTAACTGATTTCAGATCTAATTACAGCTTTGGACTCAAGTGGTCAAACCCTTTCGATTGATGCGTTTACTCTAATCCTGCCTAAAATAATTTCAATTTTAGAGTAGGCTGGTAATCCTGATGGAAAATAAAATTGAATCTGGTATACGCGTGCGCCCCACGCTTGGTAATACTGGTGCACAAATATATAGCCAATAAAAAGAAGAAAAAAAAAAGTCTATAAATTAACGTACTATAATTCTGCCTTAAAAAATTCAAGTGCCGCGGCTGTTGAGGATTCCCTCTTGTTTTCGATGGTTTTACAATTTGCAAAAGCATATTGCGTTTCGGTATCAAACATTAAGTCTGTAAATAAATATGAGTGAAGTTCGAGTACATACTGTTGTTTACATTTTCACAGTTGCTAGAGTCCTCGGGAATCAAATACTTAGTCTGTAATTAGATATAAATGAAGTTCAAAAACATACTATTGTTTACACTTTCACAGCTGTTAAGGTCCTCAAAAATCAGATATTAGGTCTGTAAATATATATGAGTGAAATTCAAGTACATATTATTTTTTATACTTTCACAGTTGCTAGGATCTTCAGAAACCAAATATTAGATCTGTAAATAAATATTAATGAGTGAAGTTCGAGTACACACATACTATTGTTGACACTTTCACAACTGCTACGGCCCTCACTCGCACATAGAGAATCCTAGGATAGAAAATATTAAATTAAATTAAAATTAATAATGATTTAATCTTAAAGATAATATCAACCACGTGGAAGATATTGCTTTGAAAATTAATCCATTGTTTCAGCTTTTTACAATACGTGTGATTTAGGCCTTAGGCTTTGCTATATGTTTTCAATATTAGATGCAGGAATGCTAAAGATGTAATTGATTAAAAGGTCCTTTTTTTAAAAATTATTAAATAAACTCCAGTGTTATGTAATTTTTTCCTTAGGGGTTAACAATAGGGAACAGACCGTAACATACATATTGTTTTAAAAATGTAGTTTAAAGGTTGTTTAGAATGTTTTAAGGAACAACGAGGGTTTGAAGTATACTAGTTTTGGTGTGTTTTTTTATCACTTATCAATAATACTGTTTGGGGATTATGAGTACATTGTAATTGGCCGAAAGGGAAATTGTTAATTTGTCTTTAATTCCTCCTCGTCGCTTACTTAAAACATTAAATGTGAACTTAAAACTATTTTCCAGAGTTTCAAGCAATAAAACATTACATGTGAACGAAAGAATCTGTACTTTTCCCTCTCTTAGTTTCGGGTTGTGAGCCTCAAACTTATACCTATATTTTATCTATAGAAGGACAACTTATTTGTTTGACTAAGTACACAGACTAAGTAGAGAGCTATCTGCGATGTGTCCTGTTTTTTCCATGTGTCCTAAATTTTAGCGTTATAAGCCCTCAAACTTACCGCTGATCCACCGGGGAGTGTAACCTGATAAATGTGAATTTGCATTTCAGATATAAGTATCATTGTGGAAATATACAAAATTATGTGTTTTCGTGGTTAATGTGTATAAAATTTAAATCCTGCTCGAACAATATTGCCTAATTAAACTAACTAAATTATTTTATCCTCGTTATTTACCACTGAATACCCACAGTTGTGTTCTTTTTTGACAACTTTTGTAATGTTTTTTAATCTTCATTTACAACTAGGAGATTAAAATAAAATACATATTTAAAAACTTGTATAAAAATTTGAAATATAAGCCTCTGCTTGGTTTTTCAGCCTGTAAAATTTTAATCGTTTGTTTCTGTATAAAACTAGAGTAATTCATTCCATACGAATGCTCTTGCGCTAGAAAAATCATCTCAGTATTAAATAAAAAAGTAGATATTACAAAATACTATATGACAAAATAGTTGAACATAGATTTGTAGCTAAATGTAATCTGTGTAATGTAGTCTGCCGCATCTATTGTTTTAACCACGATCTGATGTTTCTATTCACTGTAGAAAGCATTCCTAATGTTCTTGTAAGACGAGTTAAGTAAACAATGTCACAACCTCAGACTTTTCAAACTTATTATTACGTGTAAACAATAAAATTATTTTTAACAGTTATCTGGATAGTTGACCTGTAACGTTATAAAACTTTCTCGACATTATTGATAGTAGTTTCATAGAGGTGGATTCATATTGACAGTGGAGTCATAGCAATCTTTTAATCTGACGTTACCTTGTCTAAACCCTTCACTTAATTTACAATTACATGTTACTAAAAATACAATACTAATCTTTTCCTGCTTTTTTTTTTATCAAAAAGGTATAAAGTTGGTAGTAAAAGAGATAACGGTTAACCTAGAACAATTAAATGACAGTTATGATTTATGACTTTCTACGTCACCGGGTCACCATGAGACAGTTATGAAAGGTAGATTATTCAAAGACCTAACTTAATGTAAAACAGTCACTTGAACATCGTTTTTACACAGGGTATCGGCTTTTGAAACACGCTTTATTGTAGGTTTTGTTTGGACACACACACACAAACACATTGATTTTATTTTTTCATTGTAAAGAAGAATTTTCCAGTTTTTGCAGTCAGTTCTGGCATCTAGTACTAAGTTACTTTGATGCACTTTCGGGTTTAACTCTCACCCCCTCCCGCTGGGTAAACAGTATGTTTATGGATTTATATTGCTAAGATCCGAGGTTCGATTCCCCGCGACAGATAGAGTGCACATAGCTTCATGTGTAGCTTTGCGCTAAATCAACAACAAAAAGCATTGTTTTCACTAAAACTAATTATCCGTGATATTAAAAATTTAATTTGATTAACTAATTAAATTTAAATAACTGAGTTTGATCTTTTTACCGAAAAATAACCAAACTATTAATGAGCAACAATCACTGTGCTCATGTTTACAGCTAAGTGAACTAACGTGTCAGTGTTGTGAAAACCAACCGTCAAGCCGAGGAACTAGCAAACAAACAACTTTATACACAGCAAAAACTCACCCTGCTGGTTCAGGACGAAGCTCTACGGAGAATCTTGATTCCAACGTCGGGGTCACTGTTACGGAGATCCATCCTTGATTGTTTACGTTTCTGCATGTAATCTGTTTGAACGAACAAGACACGAAACATTAACATGACATATTCTTAGCCATATCTTAACATAACTTTACAGTGGACGGTTAACATGAAAAACCTTGATGTACGTTAAAATCTTGATAAAGTGTTTATCATAGATTCTTCTCGTATCATGCGCAATATTTTGTTATTAAACAATAAACACGTTAATATATTTACATATATCTTCAACTAAACTTTGAAATGTCTAGCCAATCAGCACCACCTAATTGCAATAATCTGAAGCATAAGACAACAACGTAGCAAGAATTATTTATATCAGTGTAAAAATGTTACCCTTTATTACAGCTTTTATTTCATGTGTTGCTTAACTTCATAAAATAGAAAGACTAGTATCGATTTACTACAATATGTTTCAAGCAAAGTCAACCGGCATTCATGAATAAATTTATGAAATTAAATTGATGCTGAAAAAATGTTACCAAACATTTAAACACAAAAAAGTTAAAGAACGGTAGAGCCGATGAAATGAAATACTGAGAGAAGTTTTGCATTTTGTGCTTCTTTTCTTACACAGATCATCGGTTTCTTCCACTTTAGAAATATAAGTGGTTTCAAGGGAGGATTAATTAATGAATAAGTAAACAAATGGTTTCAGGGGAGGATTAATTAATTAATAAGTAAAAAAATGGTTTCAGGGGAAGATTAATTAATTAATAAGTAAAAAATGGTTTCAGGGGAGGATTAATTAATTAATAAGTAAAAAAATGGTTTCAGGGGAAGATTAATTAATTAATAAGTAAAAAATTGGTTCAAGGAGGATTAATTAATTAATAAGCAGGAAAAAACTAATTAAATAGCATTTGAGTTAAAATACATATATGGTTTTCGAATACTTTTGTCTGGACATCGTCTGCTTTGATTCGATATCTAAGGTGTAAACTAATAAACTGGTAATTTTAGGCTGCAGATGTTTTCTTCCCTTTTTCGTGGTAATAACTTGTTTGGAAAACATTTTCATCTCCTTTGTACATTATTTTTTATCCATTCAGTTTTTCTCTCAATTATATATATTATGTAATTTATATGCACATATTATGAGAAATATTTTCAGGACTTAAAAAACACATGTTATGAATTTCATTTCGGCAGACAAAGTATCAGCTATCCAGTTTGAGGCAGTACCTACGTGCATTCTTTGATTCCGATGTGGCAATTTGGAAGCATAGAGTGGAGACAGAAAGATTAAACAGTATTTCATGATACACCATATAGACGCCCTTTTATTATTAGAAAAGTATGCACTTATCAACAGTTCGATGTAAATATGAAATTAAGTAAACAGTTTTCTCATTAACAAAGAAAAGAGCGGAGCCGAATATTTAAATAGCTCTACGAAAATTTGAATGTATTTTTTCGGCTGATGTTAAAACTTCAACAGTTGTTTGTTAAGAACACTTGGGCTAAATAAACAAAATGTAACTTCTATGGCGGTGCCATATTAAATTTGTTTATTTACAAAATCTAAAATTTAGGTCTGGCAGACTCAATGGCAACTATAGCTTCCTTATTTACCAACGTTGTTATTTACGTATACTCAGCCGTGTTTTAACTGCTTCGAAACGATAAAAACAACAGTCGTATGGCATCTTTTTTATCTCCACCAGAGGGAGAGAAGGGGATAATCTTCAAGGTCAAGGGTACGATGGCCTCAACAAGCAACCTAACTAGGGCCTCGTGCGTTTGCAGGCCTCAAGTTGCTCGCAAGAACTCGTTGTTCCCCCGGGAAACAAAAACAGGTGAATGGCCAAAAATTACCTTTCTGCAACACTCAATTATTTCCCCTTCGCGTAAGACCATTAGGTACAGGTAGCAAGGGTTGAGCATATAGAAACTGTGTGTGTAATGGAAAAAAGGTGGTCTGTGTTCTTTGAAGCCTGGGAAACGTGAAATTTAAAGGATACTGGTGATATTAATACGGTTTTCTTATTGTTTTTCTTTCTTGAATATGAAAATATTATTTCTGTAAATATATATATATATATTTCTTCTTCTTCTCTATCAAGTAAATTAATGTTTCGAGTTATTGTGTTTCATGCAGCGTAGTATTTCGGTTGCGATCTTTCAGTATATAATATGACCTTTCTCTACCTAAAAACAAGTTTAAAAAGTTCAGTCGGCCTTTTTGTCAAAAACATAACTGAGTGTAAACATTTTCTTTGATAATTACATTTTATCATGTTTTAGTTTCTCTAATAAACTAAACCGTTCATATTGGATTACCAAACCACAGCTCGATTGCTGCTTGATTACCAAACCACAGCTCGATCACTGCTGGATTACTAAACCACAGCTATAATATTCGATGACTGCTGGATTACCAAACCACAGCTATAATATTCGATGACTGCTGGATTACCAAACCACAGCTCGATCACTGCTTGATTACTAAACCACAGCTATAATATTCGATGACTGCTGGATTACCAAACCACAGCTCTAATATTCGATGACTGCTGGATTACCAAACCACAGCTCGATCGCTGCTTGATTACCAAACCACAGCTCGATGACTGCTGGATTACCAAACCACAGCTGTGATCACTGCTGTCTTCTCTAAACATGGCATTAGCTTACGAAGTTTTACCGAAAGTTGATATAAAGATGCTATAACTTAGCCATCTCGTGTATATACTAAATTTCTAATTTCATTTTCAAACTTTCTGCTTAAACGACTGAAGGCTAGCAGTTGTAAACTTCTCAAATGATACGATTTATTTTAGAGCAAAGCCATGTTGAATTATCAGCTGTGCCCTTCCCGGATTGTAGCTTGTAATTCCGTAGAATTACTGCTGTCTCACCGGGGTACCAAATCGTAAGAGAGAGAAATATATATATAATGATTTGTAGCGCAAAGCTATACAATGCGCTATTTTCGCTCTGTCCACCATGAGGAATCGAACCCTGGATTTTAGTGTTGTAAGCCTGTAAACTTACCTCTGACCCATAGGTGTACTACATAATAAATAAAAATCGACTTCTTAAAGACCATATTCAGTTTTTAACATTTTATCTTTGCATTCTTCAGAGTTACAGTTTACCTCAGAACCGGACGTGACCTAATAGTCAATGTGCCCAGACTGTAACTCCCAGTGTACATCATTCACGTCTTGATGCCGCAAAAACGCGCTCCGCACTATAGGACTGTGCAGACAGTCTGTTGTGCAGCTTTGTGCAAAAATTCTAAAACAAGCAATTAAGTGAAAAAAACAGTAGTTTGGCCCAAAACAACTCCATTAACAAAATGTGAAACTTAAAAACATGGATAAAAAAATAAAATCTAACAATTTTTCGTTATCTCCTCATTTTGTTACCATAAAGATGGAAACGTGTCAGGAGAGTCGTTTTGATTTTCTTAATTTCATTGATAAGCTTAATATATTCTTCCGTTTTTTTTTGTACTTTTCACTTGTCTTTCTTTTGAACCTTGTAAAAAATTATTCTTAAATATTTAATATTTGTTTAGGAAGTATCGTGTAAACGTTTACCTCTACCTTATGAATTATTTTTAGAAACAGATGTATAATATTTGCAGAACATAAAGTAAAGTCATTTGATTCTGGTCAACTGTTTTTTGTTTTTTTGTTGTTGTTGTTGGTAGTTAAGCACAAAGCTACATAATTGGTTATCTACGCTATGGCCACCACATGGATTGAACTTCGAATTTTTGCTTGATAAACTCTCAAGCTTACCGTTGATAACTAGATGACTCTGATCAGTTAAACATATGCTTTTCATCGGACTAAGCAGCAAAACCATGTAAAACGTCACAATATTGTGCAAACCCAACACTATAATTTTATGAGAGTAACCTTTAATAACCGATGACTTACTCATTCTTTGACGAAAACTTCTACTAGCGAGTATTCGTCAGTTACGAATGTTTTCTATGTGAGTTGAGATTATTGTTCCAATAGTTATATTATAAACGTTTGGTACATTGTTAATAAATGTTGAATAGTGTTACTCCTGAAATAAAAGATTGGATATTTTTTTATGGTTTTAAATGTAATTGTAAATGGTGTTTATTTTATTTTTAGCCTGACAAAAAAAACACTTAAAAAATGACTGCCTTATCTGCCTATGACAGGAAGAATTTGGTATTCATCATGGCTGCCTGTCAGCCATATAAGATCTTATGATTGACAAAAAAATGTGTTTACTGAAATCCCTGAAAACCTAACTAAATAAAACGAATAGGTGAGTAATGAATCTTTGGAAAAACGACTATAAATTCAAATTAAATCTCTCAAGCCTGCCAAGTTTTAGCCGTAGATAGAAACGTTAATAATGTTATGGCAATATGGAAAAGTTGTACAGAAAGAAACGGGAAGCTAATTATATCAGATTACAACAAAAAATATACACTAATGATGCTGAAGATGTGGGAGACCTAATGTCACTTCTGAATATAGTCACTATTAAATATATTTCATTTCTTTCACCGTCTGGTGAGCTGTATATACACTAATATACACTAATGATGCTGAAGATGTGGGAGACCTAATGTCACTTCTGAATATAGTCACTATTAAGCATATTTCATTTCTTTCACCGTCTGGTGAGCTGTATATACACTAATATACGCTAATGATGCTGAAGATGTGGGAGACCTAATGTCACTTCTGAATATAGTCACTATTAAGCATATTTCATTTCTTTCACCGTCTGGTGAGCTGTATATACACTAATATACACTAATGATGCTGAAGATGTGGGAGACCTAATGTCACTTCTGAATATAGTCACTATTAAGCATATTTCATTTCTTTCGCCGCACACCTTCATTTCACCGAACTGGCAATATACAGCTCACCAGAATATTACGAATCCAATTGCGTACCAATGCTTTAAGAAAGTCATTTCGTTAGAAGTTTTGTCCACGCAAATGATTCTTGAAATAACAAACAAACAAACAAAAGAAATCACAAGGTTTAAAGTTCGAACTATAAGACGGATGGGGAAA